AAGGAAGACCATAACAGACAAAGACCAGAACAGACTAAAAACCAGACTAAAAATAATAATCGAGACAATAATAGTAAAGATAAAATATGCAGTACGTTGTATGGCCTGATATCCTGATTATGTGTGTAAACTACAACGCTCTTTGTACGGCCTAAAGCAGGCCACACGTGCATGGTTTAAAAGATTACATGATTTCTTGCTTCGCGTGGGTTTTCGCCCCTCGAAGATAGATGTGTGCTTGTTTATCTTTGATTCTGGACAGGTCCGTGCCTGTATTGGTCTAGGTTGACGACATCATTTTGATGGGCAATAACCTGAGCATGGTCGACGGTGTCATGCAACAGTTGGCTACGACATTTCAGATTCGGGATCTAGACATGCCTCGTTTATTCTTAGGGATTGAAGCAACATATACACAAGATGCCTTAATGTTATCTCAACAACGCTATGTTACTGAACTTTTGCGAAAAGCAGGCATGGAGTCTTGCAAACCCTTGTCAACACCTAGCGTCCTTTGTTACCAGGAAACAGCGCACCGTGGCCCGCTCCTCCACCGAAGCCGAATACAAGGCCGTCGCTGATGCGGCGGCAGAAGTTACATGGGTTCAATCACTGTTACGTGAACTCGGCCTACAACCGCCAACTATTCTCATTCTTTGGTGCGCTAATCTGGTCTTTCATGCACAGACCAAAAATGTAGAAGTGGACTATCATTTTGTTCGTGACAAAGTAGCGTCTGGCGGCCTCAAAGTCAATTTTGTCTCCACTCGCGACCAACTCGCCGACATATCCACTAAGCTACTAGCTTCCTCGCACTTTAGTGATCTTCGTTGCAAGCTGGGCGTGGTCCCTTGTCCCCCGTCAACTTGGGGGGGGGGGGGTATTGAGTAGTAAGAAATAAATGTTTAGTTAGAAGTCTTTGGGGTTGTTTTCTATTTTCCTGCTAGACTGTGTGTATATATATCTTTGTAGTTTTACCGTGTTTATTCATTCAATACAAACATTGTTTCCTAATCATAGGGGTGTTCATATTGTTATTTGCACCGCCTTGGTCAAATGTGATTTACGAGATGCAATTAATAATTTTTTAATTAAAAAAATTAATTAATTAAAACATTAAAAAACATAAAAACCTGAGGGGTTGCCTTCTCAGAAGGCGAGGAAGGTTTTTTTTTTTTTTTTAATTTGGATTTTAAATAAAAATAAATAATAAATATTATATTTTTAAATATAATGTTTGAATAAATTTAATGAAGGTGGTGCAAATAGAAATTTTCTATTTACAGCACCTATAAAGCTATCACACCTATTAAAATGTGGTGCAAATATCAAATAGGGTGGTGCAAATAGAAATGCCCTATTGTGGCAGGAGACATTGTCCCAAATAATAATAATAATAATAATAATAATAATAATAATAACAATAACAATAACAATAACAATAACAATAACAATAACAATAACAATAACAATAACAATAACAATACCAATACCAATACCAATAACCAATACCAATACCAATACCAATACCAATACCAATACCAATACCAATACCAATACCAATACCAATACCAATACCAATACCAATACCAATACCAAAATACCAATACCAATACCAATACCAATACCAATACCAATACCAATACCAATACCAATACCAATACCAATACCAATACCAATACAATACCAATACAATACAATACCAATACCAATACCAATACCAATACCAATACCAATACCAATACAATACCAATACCAATACCAATACAATACAATAAATACCAATACCAATACCAATACCAATACAATACCAATACCAATACAATACCAATACCAATACCAATACAATACCAATACCAATACCAATACCAATACCAATACCAATACCAATACCAATACCAATACCAATACCAATACCAATACCAATACCAATACCAATACCAATACCAATACCAATACCAATACCAATACCAATACCAATACAATACCAATACCAATACCAATACCAATACCAATACCAATACCAATACCAATACCAATACCAATACCAATACCAATACCAATACCAATACCAATACCAATACCAATACCAATACCAATACCAATACCAATACCAATACCAATACCAATACCAATACCAATACCAATACCAATACCAATACCAATACCAATACCAATACCAATACCAATACCAATACAATACCAATACCAATACCAATACAATACCAATACCAATACCAATACCAATACAATAAATACAATACCAATACCAATAAATAAATACCAATACCAATACAATACATAATACAATACAATACCAATAGTAATAGTAATAGTAATAGTAATAGTAATAGTAATAGTAATAGTAATAGTAATAGTAATAGTAATAGTAATAGTAATAGTAATAGTAATAGTAATAGTAATAGTAATAGTAATAGTAATAGTAATAGTAATAGTAATAGTAATAGTAATAGTAATAGTAATAGTAATAGTAAATAGTAATAGTAATAGTAATAGTAATAGTAATAGTAATAGTAATAGTAATAGTAATAGTAATAGTAATAGTAATAGTAATAGTAATAGTAATAGTAATAGTAATAGTAATAGTAATAGTAATAGTAATAGTAATAGTAATAGTAATAGTAATAGTAATAGTAATAGTAATAGTAATAGTAATAGTAATAGTAATAGTAATAGTAATAGTAATAGTAATAGTAATAGTAATAGTAATAGTAATAGTAATAGTAATAGTAATAGTAATAGTAATAGTAATAGTAATAGTAATAGTAATAGTAATAGTAATAGTAATAGTAATAGTAATAGTAATAGTAATAGTAATAGTAATAGTAATAGTAATAGTAATAGTAATAGTAATAGTAATAGTAATATAATAGTAATAGTAATAGTAATAGTAATAGTAATAGTAATAGTAATAGTAATAGTAATAGTAATAGTAATAGTAATAGTAATAGTAATAGTAATAGTATCCATTTTGGTCCCTCGACTATTAGATAATAATAGTTAATACCCATTTAGGTCTCTCGACTATTAGATAAAAGAACATTTTTGCCCATCTCTATAACGGTGGATGGATGACAATCGTATCAGAGGATTAAATTGGGTATGATTTTACAAGTTAGATGAATATATTGGGTACTTTTAATAGTATGAGAATAAATTACGCATTACATAATAGTCGAGGGACCAAAATGGGTATTAACTCTAACCCCAAGTATATATAATTTCCAAACTCTAACACTACCGACCTTAACCTCTAAAGTCTCATTCTAAATTCTGATTCAACTATAAACATTGCTATTAATCATTGTTTAATTATTTACTAATTGTTCTTACTATTATAATATTTAATGATGTGTTGCGAATTAATTAAGTAAGTTGATTGTTAACTATTTATGAAATAGAAATAATATAATACAAATGAGTTTTTAATGCTATTATGTTTGCATTGTGGTGATATATTTGTGTAGTTATATATTATTAGTTTTGTATTAGGTATATTTCTTAAATTATTTTAAAATACTTATCAAAATTTTTAAAAAACCTTAACATGTAGGCTTTAAACAGGCTCAAAGCAATACTTACTTTGAAACATTTTTATTAAACTACATATTAAACAGACTTTTAATTAAGTTGTTTTTGGACATTTTACATGTTAATCTAAACATCTAAATTTTTTAAACTGCTGATGGCCAAACAAGGACATTGCGACGTAGTTTTCACATCAATTTATTGTGTGATTTGAATACTCTCTTTGTCAACAAATCCCCCTCAATTAAGTAGTTAATATGATTGACTTAATTATATTTTTTTTATTTTTTCATGGTATTAATAAAATAATTGGTAAATAAATATATAGCATTATTTTGTATTATAACTTTGATATTTAATTAAAAACTAGTGTACAAAAAAAGATAATAGACAATGTATTCAATATAATCAATTAATGAATTTGATTGTAAAGAATTTTACATTGGAGAAAAATAAAGACAATATAACTAACGAAATTATTTCTTTTAATTAATTTATTGATAATGAAGAATTTATTTATTTATTTTTGAATAAAGACATTGTAGTGACAATGCAGAGAATATAATCAATTGATGAATTTGAATGTAAAGAATTTTTACATTGGAGAAAAATAAAGACAATATAACTAATGAAATTATTTCTCTTATTTAATTTATTGATAATGAATAATTTATTTTTTGAATAAATACATTGTAGACACATAATTCTAAATTAAAGAAATGCATATGTATTATTTTTTGTTGTAGCTACTAAATTATTTAATTTAATAATTAATTTAATAAGAGTAAAATATAGTTCTAATTATGCTAACTTTCATTGGGATATGTTCACCTAAGACCTTTCTTATTGAAACCAATGAGTAAGTTAATGGAGCATATAAGTTTTAATAGAATTTTGATTGTGATGAGATTCGAACCTAGGACCTTTCTTATATATTGAAATCATATAATTAAAGATAAATTTGAGAATATCAATGAAAGATTAAAATCTGAACAATCTGAACCATTCATTTGATTTAATAATTTGATGGACATTTTTTCTACACATTATAGACCTAACTTCTTTTGGCTCTTATTAGTATAATACACAATAATAATAACAATTATTATATACTATGTATTCTATTATAATAACAATAACAATAATTATTTATTCTGAAGAACCTTAGTATTAGTGTTAAGGAAAGAAATCACAGAAATCACAAGAAATCACATAATTCTTCTAGCAAATATTTTCTCTTGTAATCTTGGTTTCATTATTATTATTATTATTCTTATTGATTCTATTTCCTTTCTCTGTATCTTATAGTTTGTATATATAGGGGTGTACATCTTCTGTAATGGACAACAGAGAATAATAGACAGTTCATACATTTCTTTACATGGTATCATTCCCAGGTTCTTTATCCACGCCCTCTCCTTGCATTGTTCCTGTCGTGTGCCGCTGCCGCCATGACAGACACGGAGGTCGTCGACGCTGACAAGAGGGACGCTAGCAACAACGACGACGATGTCACGATGGTACGTCGTCGTCGTATCTCTCCATACGATCTTTCTCCCAGCGATAACCCGGGTATGCTTCTAACCCAAGTTGTTTTGAAAGGAGATAATTACGATGAGTGGTCTAAATCTATGAGACTTGCTCTTCGTGCCTGAAAGAAGTTCGGATTCGTTGACGGGTCTATACCCTTACCTGTACCGACTTCTGATGATGTGGATGATTGGTGGACGAACCGTTCATTGTTGGTATCCTGGATACGTAACACGATTGAACCAACGTTGCGTTCCACGATCTCTCATGTTGAACTTGCATATACTCTTTGGGATGATTTGAAGGCTCGTTTTTTTCTGTAATTAATGGGCCACGGGTTCAACAACTTAAGCGCGAGTTGACGGAGGTCAAACAGAGGGGTCTCACCATAATGGCCTACTATGGTAAAATGAAGAAATTGTGGGACGACAATCTTGTTGATGTGGATCGTTATCCTACTTCTGTGTGAAAAAATTGCACTTGCCAAATTGACGCTTTAGACAAAAAACGTGAAGAAGAGCGTGTTCATCAATTTTTGATGGGCTTAGACGAAGGGGGGTATGGTTCTATTCGCTCACAGCTCCTGTCTCTTGAATCCCTACCTACTGTGAGTCGGGTTTATAATATCTTGGTCCAGGAAGAGACGGCTCGTGTCACAGTCCATGGTACTAAAGGAGGCACCAGTGATGCTGCGATGTTTGCAACTATCAAGGAGATTACATGCACCAACTGCAAGAAGCCTGGCCATACTATTGACACATGCTTTAAGCTGATTGGCTATCCAGAAGGATGGTTTGGTGGTCGAAACGGGGGACGTGGTGGCCGTGGCAGCAACCGCGGCGGTGGGAGAGCCGGCAGGAATGACGGTCGCGGTATACCCGGACAACATCCCGGCGGACAGGTGACAGCACATGCTGCAACCGCCGACGCGTCACTCACCGCTTTTCCGGACTTCGACAACCTTACTCCCGAGCAGTGGAATACAGTTCGTCATGCCTTGTCGTTGTCTCCAACAAGGTCAACTTTGAATGAATCGTTGTCAAGTATTCCTTTACCTCGCTGGATTATTGATACATGGGCATCAAATCACATGACAGAGAATATTAATTTATTGAGTAATATTCAGCAAACAGACCCTTGTACCATTGGTTTGCCAGATGGAAACCGGGTTATATCAGTGAAATCAGGAACGGTCTGTTTGACGGACAATTTGATTTTGATAAATGTTTTATTTGTTCCTGTTCTAAGTTGCAATTTGATATCTGTTTCCCAAATGACGAAGGACTCGAAATGTGAAGCACGTTTTACAGACAAATCTTGTGTATTACAGGACCTAAAGACAGCGATTGGTGTGGGTGAATATAGAGAAGGACTTTACTACTTCAACCAAGATGGAAAACAAAAAGCGTTTAATGCAGTTAAGGAGCATAGTTTTGATTTATGGCATAAACGTCTTGGACACCCCTCATCTCGTGTTTTTTCTTTTGTCCCTTTAGCAGTCTCTATTAAGAACAGTTGTTTAGCTAATAATTGTTGTGAGATTTGTGTACGTGCTAAACAATTACGTGCTAGCTTTCCTATTAGCATTCAGTATTCTAGTGGCATTTTTGACACGGTGCATTGTGATTTATGGGGGCCGTATAAAATACCAAGTCTAAATGGGTCTACATTTTTTTTTTTGACAATCGTCGATGATCATTCTCGCGGAGTTTGGGTATATTTGTTGCAGTCAAAACGCGATGTGGTCCCTATTTTCCAACAATTTTGTGCTATGGTGACCCGTCAATTTGAAAAATATGTCAAGTGTGTTCGGAGTGATAATGGGACAGAGTTTGAAGGGTTGAAAGAATACTTCCGTACACAAGGCATCATATATGAAACATCTTGTGTTTCCACGCCTCAACAAAATGGAAGGGTTGAACGAAAACATCGTCACATCCTCAATGTGGCGCGGGCACTCCGATTTCAGGCTTCTCTACCTATAAAGTTCTGGGGCGAGTGTGTTCAAACAGCGGCATATCTCATCAACCGGACACCTTCTTCTTTGCTAGGGGGGTTGCTCCGTTTGATAAAATTTATGGACGGGCTCCACCTTTATCTCACATTCGTGCTTTTGGTTGTAGATGTTTTGTGCATAATCAGAAGCAATATGGAGACAAATTTGCTGAACGGAGTATTCCTGGAAAGGGTGGCGTGTTTATTGTCCAAACACAGGGAAAATTATTGTTTCACGAGTTGTTATTTTCTCGGAGAATGTGTTCCCCTTTTCGCAGGAAACAGAAGAAGACTCGGAGTCGCCACCGCCTAGCCAGGACAACCTTATCCCCGAAGAGGAGGAGGAGTGCGTGGATAGTGTTTGGCCTGTCGCCGGTGCCAGGACACCCGTCGAACCAGCCACCCAGACCAACGACTTGCCCATGGGCGGTACTACTACCGGCAGAGACGAGGTGGCAGTCTCGGAGGTGGGCGGAACTGCTGCCGGCAGAGATGGGATGGCAACCCCGGAGGTTCCAGTCCCTGTTCTAGTTTATCCGATGCACAGGGTCGAGGACGGCGAACGCGTACTCCTAGTGTTCACCTTCCAGATTATGTAACATACACAGTCATTGGAGCACCTGACACATTGTGCAAGTATCCTATCACTACCTATATTGGGTATGACAAGTTTTCCTTGACTCATAAATGTTATCTTGCTTCTCTTGATACCGAAGTAGAGCCCATAAATTTTCGTCAAGCAATTCAGTGTGAACCATGGAGGAAGGCTATGCGTGCGAAAATTGATGCTTTGGAGAAGAACGACACATGGACACTTGTACCTGCTCCCAGACACAAGAAGCCACTTGGGAGTAAGTGGGTTTACAAAATAAAAAGAAAATCTGATGGGAGCATTGAGCGCTACAAGGCACGACTGGTGATATTCGGCAATCATCAGGTTGAGGGTCTTGACTACAATGAGACCTTTGCCCCGGTAGTAAAGTTAACGACTATTCGCACTCTTTTTTGCTGTGGCTGCAACACGTTCATGGGAGCTACATCAAATGGACGTACATAATGCGTTCCTTCATTGCGACTTAGATGAGGAAGTTTACATGAGGCTTCCACCAGGGTTCGCACCGTCACAGTCCAACGTGGTGGGCAAACTCAAGAAGTCTCTTTATGGGCTAAGACAAGCCCCACGGTGCTGGTTTGCAAAATTGTCAGGTGCTCTGAAAAGGTATGGTTTCACACATTCCACATCTGATTATTCGCTGTTCTCGTTGCACAGTGATCATGGTGTGGTACATGTTTTGGTGTATGTTGATGATCTTGTTATTTCGGGAGATAACACAGTTATGATTGCCAAGTTTAAATCCTACTTGACCTCTTGTTTTCATATGAAGGATCTTGGTACTTTAAAATATTTTCTTGGTATAGTGGTAGCTCGGAATTCTTCTGGTATTTTCTTGTGTCAAAGAAAATATGCCCTTGATATCATTTCTGAGACAGGTCTACTAGGTGCTCGACCACTGGGTACTCCTATGGAACCCAATCATCGTCTTGCTTTATCTGAAGCCCCACTTCTCGATGATCCCAAACCATACCGTCGCCTAGTGGGGCGTCTAGTTTATTTGTCAATCACCCGGCGAGAGTTAGCCTATGCTGTCCATACTCTAGCTCAATTCATGAAGGATCCCCGTGATGATCATTGGAAAGCACCACTTGGAGTAGTGTGCTATCTAAAAGGAAGTCCCGGTCAAGGTATTTTTCTATTCGCTAAAAATACTCTACAATTAACTGGCTGGTGCGATTCAGATTGGGCAGCTTGCCCTTTGACTTGACGATCGTTAACCGGATGGTTCGTTCAGCTAGGCGATTCTCCCATCTCTTGGAAAACAAAGAAACAAACCACAGTTGCACGCTCCTCAGCCGAAGCTGAATACCAAGCTTTGGCCGCAGTGACATGTGAATTGAAGTGGTTAAAAGGTCTTCTTCATTCTCTTGGGATACACCATACGGCTCCTATGCACATTCGTTGTGACAGTACCGCTGCTCTTCACATTGCAGCGAATCCAGTCTTTCATGAACGAACAAAGCACATCGAGGTTGATTGTCACTTTGTTCATGATGAGCTATTACAAGGTGTGATACAAACGGAGCATGTGTCTACGACACAATAGTTGGCTGATATTCATACAAAGGCGTTGGGAAAGACACCCATGGAGTCTCTTATTCCCAAGTTGGGCATCTCTCTGTTACATGCTCCAACTTGAGGAGGGGGGTGTTAAGGAAAGAAATCACAGAAATCACAAGAAATCACATAATTCTTCTAGCAAATATTTTCTCTTGTAATCTTGGTTTCATTATTATTATTCTTATTGATTCTATTTCCTTTCTCTGTATCTTATAGTTTGTATATATAGGGGTGTACATCTTCTCAAATGGACAACAGAGAATAATAGACAGTTCATACATTTCTTTACAATTAGGCTAATCTCTATTTGCTAAATCAAGTGGATAATTTTGTAATCATTATACCCTGCACCACGGTGCACATAGCACTGTGCGCCTCGCGCCTCCGAAAATGACGTCGTTTTGTTAAGTTGTGTGGGGAGTCCACGCAATAGAGTGTAGGTGTATTATGTTATATAATTATGTTATACAATTATGTATATTCTGGTATACAATTATGTACATTATTTTATACAACTATGTACATTTTTTATACAATTATGTACATTCGAACACGCGATTTTTTTAACAACTAAAAATTTATGTGTATTCTGTTATACAATTATGTACATTTTAGTATATAATTATGTACATTTTCAAAACGTGAATTTTTTTTAACAAATTAACAGCAAACACGGAAAAAACGAATTTTTTTTTTAAAAAAAAAAGTGCAAAACGACGTCGTTTTGCACCAGGGCGCACAATACAATGTGCACCCTGGAGCACGATATAAATTACCATAATTTTGTGTTTCAAATGTTTATTTGTGTATATTTTTATTCTTCAACCTAACCAAACACTATTAACATACTAGTCTTTTCTATTTGCGATGCGCAAAAATATATGCCCAATATTTATATTTTTTAAAAATAACTAACAAATCCCTTCTAATTAAAATCTATATGAAATCAAATTTATTTATTATAATAATCAAATATATAATGTCTACAAATATTATTATCATTAAAGAATATAAGAAAATATATGGTTGATGCATATGCATGGTAACAATAATAGAAAAAGATACGGAAGTTTGGGGAATTTTTGTCCAAAAAAATTATATTGTACAACTCTAAAAGCACAATGTACAAAATGATTGACATTAAAAACATGGACATAAATGAAGGATATAACTTTAACTAAAATTTATTATGTTTTTAGATTAAATTTAATAATTATTAACCAAATAACTATTCTATAAAATAAAATATTAAACAAGATTTGGATAGGAGCTGCGCGAACGCAAGCCCCCGCTGCCACAAATTATGACGTAGGCTCCACCTATTAGGTAGTCCTTAGCCTAATGCACCTCCAAAGTGCAATGAAGGTCACTAGCCTAAGCCATGAGCCTTGATGATCGCTCATTGACTCCGTCCAGGTAAGTATGTTCTTTGTTGTTCCTGAGCCCCTTTTTATTAGGCGCTGTTGAACTCCTGCTTCCGTTTTGTTTCGATGTGGGATATAGGGAACAAGAATAGCATCTTCTTTGCTCCTAGCTTTCTTCTCATTTCTGGTCCCTTTTTCTATAGTTGTTTTTGGTTTTCTTGCTTAGGTTTACAATGGAAAAATGAATTAGCACATAGCTATACATATGAAAATCCCATAAAGTAAGTTTAATAATCCTCCGATCCTTAAGTGCTTGTTGAGGAGCTGTAGAAAAACTAAAACAATTTTCTGGAAATGTCAACTAAATATCACAAAATGAGCTTTGAGGCAGAGTCGACATTCATCTTAGCCATCTCTTCTGAAATTGCACCGTGACACTTGAAATATAGAAGCTATGTGTTTTTACTTGTTAATTAAGTTATGCACCAGTTTCGTTAATTAATTAAACTCGTTTACGCAAGTGATATGTTTTGACTTTATAGAAGTTTTTTTTGGACCATTTGTGAATAAAGTACCTGATTAGAGATCTTCAATTTTTGGATCACACACAGAGGCATTGAATTCATAGCAAACCACTTCATAAATAATCTTGAGAAGCATAACCCGAAATATCCATTCAATTAGTAGTTAGGAGCTCATAGCAAACCACATCATAAATAATCTTGAGAAGCATAACCCGAAATATCCATTCAATTAGTTAGGAGCACCAAACACTACTACTCCCCCTAACTAATATAATCCTATTATTTCCATAATGACTAATCATAACAACTTCCAAACAAAAATATAATCACTGTCAATAATCACTACCAAACAATTCCATAATCATCCAATACTTCAAAAAAATCCAAAAGTGTCCAAAATGCTCTAAAGTTATCATAATACTCCCCCTTACTCCTAAACTCCCCCTTTTTGCCAAATAAATGACAAAGGAAGGTGAACATCATAATAGTGGACTAGATTTACCCTACAAACGGGGTGCCCAAAACTGAGCCGTCATCAGCATCATCAGTATCAGATATCATACACCAAGAAGATAAAGCCTTATAAGCAATCCCATCCAAAATATTCTTCATAAATAATCTCATCAAGTAGATAATCCAAGAAGAATCCAAATAAGGTGATGATTATAAAATGAGATCCCAGAGATTTTAATAAGCCAAATAAAACGATAACCCAACGAGATAATCCAAAAACTGATAGAGTCCAGTAAGAGAATCCATATATACCCAAGAAATCCAATATAACCGAAAATACCCAATAAATACACAATTTGAATTTGTTCATAAGAGATTAAGAAGAACTCCCCCTCCAAATGTACATCGTGATTGTTTCCTTTGCCAAGAATTTCACATTAGCTTGAAGCTGTAATTGGGACTCCATAAAAAGTTATTTGCTTTGTTTGAACCTGCAGAAGATTTAAAAAAAAAAACGAGAGCCCTAGAGCTATGCACACGCAACTTGCAAACAACTCAGCAAAACACATAAAAAAATCAGGAATTTTCAATTCTCAATTGAAGTCAAACAGATTAGCAAATAAAACAGTAAGCACATTCATGTAAAGCAAGCCAAAGATTCAAAATAAATCAAATTCAGACACAGACACATATGAACCAAATTTAGGCACAGATTCAGACCAGATATCACGGAAAACACACAAATAAACAATTGAGGCACAAATACCGCGGGAAACACATGAATAAACACAAATACAGTCATGACCGGACCAAACAAACCACAATTACATAAACATAAAGTAACACAAGAGAATAAACACATTAATCAAATTGCACCAAATTAAACAAATAAAAAGGAACACTTTAATCCATGCAAATTAAACGAGCACTTTAAAGAGTAACCCAGACAAATTAAATGTAAAAAGGACATGTAGTGAAAACACAGAAATAGCTAATAACCAAACATAAAGAGTAACCCAAGCGAATTAAACGAACACTTTTAAGATAAAAATTAAACGAACAAGTAAAGAGAATGAATCCAGAATGATCAAATGTACCTGATGTGTGAATAAATTCAGAGATACACACATGTAAAAGTGGGAATGAATAATTCATGTTCAATTTTAAAGCCACTCACATAAAATAAAAGACGCAATTCATCTTAGGCACATTTAAAACAGAGAAAAAATATAAACGGCAAACGAAGACTGCAAAAGAAGATTGCCAGTAAAAAATTGTAACACATTAGGATTCTCAAACTCGGGTATTGAGGTAATACCAATTAAAGGAGGGGTGTTAGAGTGTGTACCAACTTCCTGAGTGTTTGTAGCCTTCAAAGTACTAAGGAATTGTTCTTCGTTAAAGTCTTCTTCCTTCGTAAGTTTTGCGGGACCCCTTTGATTTTGAGCTGGATGGAACTAGTACAGTTGGTGATTCAGTGAGGGCTCGTGACTGAGTGAGTCTGGGTGGAAGAGTGGAACCCCTCCTTTGATGCTTACGG